ACTGCGATAATATTTTTCCTCGATACCTGACACCCCCTCTCACCAGATGTGGACGACGCCTGCGACACTTTATACACGCCGAAAATCAAAAGACAAAACCACTTTCACACACAAGGGGTGTCCATACGCTGTCACAACGCATCATTTTCACGCACTAAAACACACATACTAAAAAACCAAAACAACGTGCACCATCTACAGCCCAATAGCAAAACGTATACCAAGTCCCAGACATATCCGTCCACCCAACCGCGAGAAACGGCTGCGAACGTAATTTTCATCTTCCCCCACAAAACCTCCGCGCACGGGATACATCCCTACCCGGAGGTAATGATTACAGAATTCACACGTTCTATCTTTCAGAGGGGTACGGCTATGCCTGCCGGATTCTATACGTAAGGGATGGTCACTAATGCGAAGTTTACACATGGCTTCATTCTGCATTGAGCCTCTATCAGTAATGCAGAATGTACAGTTACTATTTCAGATTAGCCAACGAAGTACATACAAGTAGTCTTCAGTATGAAGCCTATATGGTACAACAAGAGCTAGATCGCCGAAAAACACCCTGCTGGTTATCTAATGTAAGGAAACTGCTAGAGGAGTCCGGCTTTGTCTACCTGTACATTAATGGTAATAAAAAAAGTCTAAAAACACGTCAAAATGATATTCGAAGAATAAACTTTGAGTTAAACTATTAAACTTTCAAGACTTGTTTCAAGATTGTTACGAGTCTTGGCACTAAGGAGGAAGCGTTACCCCACCTGGAGTCCCAGCCCTCCGAAGTAGAACTCCTCGTTGAAGACGGGGTTCCTGGTGTGTTTGACTGTGCGCGTCTGCTGGCGGCCCACCTTGCCGGGCAGTAGGTACAGCCGGATGTAACTGTTCACGTTGTTCTTGGCGTGCTTGTGGCCGCCTAGGTTCTCTGCCTTGATGATGGACACCTGTCAGTAGATACAATCATATCACGGAGCAACTCATACGCGATGAAAGATTTCGAGATACAGGCTAAGGATACTGACTTTTACTAGCATGAAAGTTCATCTGAGTTGGTAAAATACATGAAGAAAATTAAACTGTTCTCCAACTCAAAAACAGGGCATACCAACCTTCACTCAACCGTGACGGGGGGTGGTACCGACTTCCGACGAACTTTGACCCGGTGCTGACGTCACACGTGGCTAAAAGTCACATGTCCACAGCACTTGGGTCATAAAGCTGATGAAGACTGAGCGCGCGATTGAGTCGAAAATTTCTGGTGAGTTCATTTCTTTTTTGAGTTGGAGAGCAGTTTAATTTTATTCAGATACTGACTTTTATTTCAATCTGATGGCAGCAACCCCTCTCCTCTGAAGACCCCAAAACTAGTAAGCGCGGGTGAATAAAAATCCAGCAGAAAAAAAATGCTGCTAAACAACAGGGATACATAGCTGGTATTGTGAAATTTGGTAGTATAGATAAGTACTTTTAACCCTAAACAGTACACCTGGGGTCCGCGCGGACCCCAGCACTATATATTCTGTAATATCTTTTTTGTTTCTAAAGATTTTTTTCTGAAATTTTAGGTAATTGTCACCCACAAAGTTGTCTCTCAATACAGTGCAGAAAACTCCGTTTCTACCATTTATAAAAAAAATTATATCTGATTTTCTTTTGGGGTCCGCGCGGACCCCAGCCGGCTTTCGATCATAATGGATACACTGGCGTTCTTATACATTACCTTATTTCCGTTTTTTATATGTTTGTATGCACTCATCGTATGTCTACCAAGTTTTCAGAGAATGGTGTAGTAATAGAATTAAATTTTAATAACTTTGGTGTAATTATGACGTCATATGACGTCAGAGCTAATAATATAGTACGCCATATTGGATTTTGACCAATGACGTCATCAAATTAGCATATTCTATGCATATTAAATGATTTAACTTATATTTAATTATGTAAGATGTTATTAATGTTGGAAAAGTAGTGTAATTTAATATAAAACTCAGAAAATTTTTATGTTTAAACCAAAATTACTTCTTTTTTAAAAAAAACTGCCTGCTAGAAACCCGTTGCCATGGCAACACAAAAAAACATCAACTTACTAGTATTAAACTAATATGAACTCTTTTCCAGAGACATTTTAGGAAAGGTCTCCAAATTTGATACTTCTAGCGCAAGCCGTTTAGCCGCTATCTGAGATCAAAGTTGGGCCTCTAAAGCCCCCTCAGTCTGAAATGGGTTTAAAAATCGGGTATTTTTTTCTTGTCTTCTTTTCTTCACCAAAAAATAGAAAAAGTTCAAAATGTATAATTTTTGTATGTAATGTGGACACAGAGGTTCCCATATCAGTTTGCAAAACAATTGAGCTGGTAGCATGTTGATAATTTCTAAAAATTAGCAAAAAACTGTTCTGGGGTCCGCGCGGACCCCAGGTGTACAGATTAATCAGTCCGGGAAGGTGTACTGTTGAGGGTTAAATCAAGCCGGCACATGCTAGCCTTTCATGAGTCGGCACTATACTGAGTTCTTGAGTTCCGTGGAGCTTTGACAGCCTGGGTGCCATCCTCCGGAGTTACTGCCGGCTCCCAATTGTCGCTAGCTACCATGGACTACGGAGGATGGCAGCCAGGCCAGAGCCTCGGTGGATGTAATTTTTGTTTTAGAACAGGCGAAATCAATGCACGCGCGGATGTCATCCATAAAATTAAATCAATGTGACCTTATACTAGCCTCTACCAGGCTTCGGGAGGCGGCGGGAAAGAGTAGAAATCGGCCAAATAGAGAGACAGCATGCCAATGGAGTTTGGTCGGCTGGAGATAGCGGCAAACTGTTCTCTCCAGCCGACCAAACTACCTTGGCATGTTTCCTCTCTATTTGGCCGATTTCGACTCTTTCCCGCCGCCTCCCGAAGCCTGGTAGAGGCTAACCTTTTACAGAAAGTTTATTGCAAATACTTGCCTGAGGGCTAATTGCAGTTATAAACAACATAAGAAAGAAAATACAATGGTATGTGAGACTGTATCTACTTCTATCATTATTCTATATTCTACAACATACATGGTACTAGTTTTACTGGGTTTGACTTCTGAATGGAAGACGAATTTTACCCACTTCTATGATATGTGGGTTCTTTGATTTTAGTAGTAAAATTGTTTTTCTTTTTGTGGTAGGGAATGGTGGGGAAGTAAGGGAGCATTTTGGACACGGTGCTAAATAATTGTTTTCTGATGTCGTCATAAAATGGACAGTTGAAATGAATTTCGTCTTCCACTGCATTTGAGGAGCAATATTTACAAATTCTCTCCGACACAGGTAGTTTCATATATCGCCTTTTTTTCGATTTCCAACGGGTGGACACTGATTCTAATTTTACTATTATAGCGTTTACATGTACCTTCAGCTGCCTCCCTCGCTTGACAAACTCGACGGAGAACTTGAGTTCGCCCAGGTAGTGCGGGAGCAGTCCCGCCTCTTTCTCACGGGAGTCCCGTCGGAAGGGGGTGAACGTTGGGACCTAGAAATGGAATTAAAAAAATATCTTGTTTATTTGTTTATTTGAGTTTACCAGAGTAACTTTAAGACTGGCCGATCAGTACATGTATACAAAACAGGACAAAACAGGTGCATTGACACCTTTACGAGTTGTCCTCCCAACCCTACATGTCAAGTCAAGTCAAGTCAAGTCAAAGTTTATTGCACACCGATTGTCACGGGTACAATGTATGGCAAATAATAAGATTACTAGTTGGTATGTGTCTAACATATTGCTATATATATGGTCAACGGACATTGTATCTGACAGGGTATTATAAAGAACTGCTGGCTATAGAATATTTCGACTCTACATGTACATTCTACATTACACTAAACTATATACATAAAGGGTACAGTGAGCAGTTGTACCTAATAATACTAAACATGTTCTATTGCTACTAAACAGAGTGTATGCTAAGTTACTTGCCAGGAATGTTAAACTTCTACATATTATAAATGCTACGAAACGCTACACATGTAGTTGATAAAAAAGTTCAGTGACGTTACTTATGCAGCTATTCTAAGATGTCTTTTTTGCATGGCATTATAAATGTATTGACCTATATATACATGTACAATGCAAATACAGATTATAATTATGATGAATACAAAACAAATATACAATATTGAACATCATGAACATGAAATATTATACAATAAACATCAAATGTCATACATTAAACATCAAATACTGTACAAGACAATGTCAAGGAATAAAATACATTATTTACAAAAATATCAATCTTGTTAATTTTTAATCTTACGAAAAACTATTCTTACACAATCGCTCGGTACTAGCATAGGCAACAGACCACGTTTGATTTTAGACTGCTGCCCTTTCCAGTAGTAGTTAAGCTGCTTGAGTGACTACAGGATAATGCATTTGACATATTTTCATCGTTGTCAATCTTAAAGTCTCCACTATTTGTACATGGACGGCGGACGATATTGACTTTGCTTATGTAACCTGAGTTTCTAAAGATCGCTATCCTTATTTTATTATTTAGTCTATCGAGTCAGTTATAAAATACTGAAGAAGATTTTGGTGAGAGTACTGCCATTTACCCTTCTTTAAGTCCGGATTACAAGGAAATCCAGATGAGGGTCTACTTTTCTTTAAACATCTCATAACATTCAAATATTATTCCATGTTAAAAGCATTTTTGTCATATTCCGATCGTTTTTTTTTTTGGTAATATTTTGACATGTCAGTCCTGTCAGTTTTTGAAAATATGTGTTCACTTGTTCATCGTTTAATCACTATTAATTACTAGTATGTTAACCGATGGAAAACATATTGTTTTGCTCTGTTTCTTCCTCTTCTTCTTCTCCAAACGGTGACCTCTGACCTGACCAATGGCATAATTTGTTGACGTTTGTCACCATGGTGTTGCATAATTTCACGGTCTGCTCTGCTCCTGTCACTATATACTAGAAGTACATGTATGTGAATGTGTTTGAGTAAAAATTAACAGAGCTGACCATGTCCGAAGGTATATGAATTTGCTTTGCAACTGTTACTTCTCTAGTTCGTACTTTGCTTGTCCTATGTCTTATGTGTTCGTGGCGGCATGAATATAATAGAAAGTTTATTGCAAATACATGCCCGAGGGCTAATTGCAGTTACAAACAACATAAGAAAGAAAATACAGTGGTACTGTATGTGAGACTATATCTACGTCTAGCATTATACTATATTCTACAACATGCATGGTACTAGATTTACTGGGTTTGACTTCTTCTTTTTAGGCAGTGGAAGACGAATTTACCCACTTCTTCTATAATATGTGGGTTCTTTGATTTTAGTAGTAAAAATGTTTTTTTGTGGTAGGGAACGGTGGGGAAGTAAGGGAGCATTTTGGACACGGTGCTAAATAATTGTTTTCTGATGTCGTCATAAAATGGACAGTTAGAGATGAAATGAATTTCGTCTTCCACTGCATTTGAGGAGCAATAGTTACAAATATAAGTGTAACTTGAGTGTGCCATCGCCATGTTTTGTCAATAAATGTTTCAACGCCTGAAAGATATGAATCTAGTTGGTAACACTGATGAAACCAAATGTACAAATGTCCCAAACTTGTGTTTTCTGAAAACATCAAAACTATACCAATTACTTATGCGACAGAAATTTGAATTGCCTTGTGTACAAAATAAATGGGAGGTTGAATTAAATTGTAAGCCTATATGGAAAAACATATGGAAAAACCAAACATATAATCCTATTGGTAAACGCGCAATTGAACTATAATCTTCTACACCGTATATTGCCATGTGGCAAGTTACTTAAGGTTTGGAAGATGAAAACTAGTAAATGTTTGTGATTTATGCAACTGTATTGATGATTATAAGCATATGTTTATTTCATGTAGTAGGTTGAATGTTTTCTGGAAAATAGTTGAAGACTTTATATGTAAATCCTTTCACTGCGATGTTAAAATCAGTTATGATATCATAATACTAGGATTCAAAACATGCCTAACACAGTTAGAAACATATATACTACAACGAACATAGCAAAGTATGTAGTCTGGAGGACATGTGTGAGGGAAAGAAAGATGTGAACGGTCTATCACTAGTCCACATATTTAGGGATGAGGTAAAATAACCAGGATTGGGACAACTGATGTAATGATGATTGTTTATGTTTTTAGATTGTAAGTGATGTACATGTATGTATCCATTGTAATAAAGAAATAAAAAAAATGTTTCAATAAAAAAATTCCAGACGAGCTTGCAACAAAGTACCCACCTATAGTAAAACGTTGAACTTTATTCCAACACACAATTTACAAGGATCAAATTTTCAGCGACCACTGTCGCCTTCATCAGGATAATTAATGACCAATCACTTCACAACGTGATCTCGCGAGAGTTACGGTTTACAAACACGTGACCTTATTCACACAAGACTTTACTGATACGTGACGTAAGCAATTGTTCAAAAGTGCCAGGGAGTTTATATCGTCCACCATCTGAAGTGCTCTGATATATATGGCCTCCTTAATGCCTCTTAGAAAGTAGTCCTGTTCAGTGTCCAGTATTCACTTTGTCCAGAGAGACTGTGTGGCCCGGTGATTCGACGTGGATGTGTTGAGAAACTTCAGATGACAGCGATGAAGGCGGCAGTGGTCGCTGAAAATTTGATCCCTGTAAATTGTGTGTTGGAATAAAGTTTAACGTTTTACTATGATTACTACCAACACAGATGAACTTTCATGACAAAGTACCCACCTGTAGTGAGACACTCCTCTCCCGTGGCTGTGGACTGACCTTCCGCTGCACGTTCGGGCTGGGCTCGGCCGAGCTGGCAGAGCTGCCCGAGGAGAAGCAGTCCATCTGCGGCACGGTGAGCGAGGAACGCCGCCGGGTGGACTGACGCTGCCGCCGGACGTACTTCGGCGAACTGTGCATATAGGGGTGACAGAGTATACATCTTTACGGAATACAGCGCAATGTTACGGAATACAGTGCATTTTAACGAGTACACAGTGCAATTTTACGAAATACAGTGCAATCGTATTAGTATACAGTGCAATTTTACTAGCCTACAGTGCAATTTTACTAGTAAAATACGATTATACTGTATTCCGTAAAATTGTACTGTATTCCGTAAAATTGTACTGTATTCCGTAAAATTGTACTGTATTCCGTAAAATTGTACCGTATTCCGTAAAATTGTACTGTATTCCGTAAAATTGCTCTGTATACTCTGGCACCCCTGATATAGTAGGATCAGAAATGTATGTTAACGTTACAGATTGTTCTATAACTTTCCATGTATGTTTTTTAATATATGATATATTGTAGTATTTCAAAAGAAAATGAGGCTTAAAACCACTTATGTAGCATGGCACGAACAAGGACTAAATGATTACTTGTGTACTTATTCAGTTGTTTATAGTATTGAATTGTTTTGAATTATATA